TGGAAAGTTAAACATGATATTGCACAACATAGAACTATGGGGCCAGGTCCCATAGAAAACAAAGGGGAGCGGGGAAAGAGAGAGAAGAGATGGGGTAGAAAAAAGTCTCTAGAGAGGGAGCAGCTGGAGAGAACCAAGAAGTGCAGTGGACAACAGGGGCGGCAGGTTTGTAGAAATTTTGTTGGTGCCAAGAATGCCCAGAGCCTCCCCCCAAACTCCACCCCCACCTTCCTACGGCTCTAGGAGGGACTTTGGGTGTGGGGAGGAGGTCTGGGGTGCAGGGTGCAAGCACTTGGAGGGAGTTTGGGTGCAGAAGGGGTGAGAGGATGGGCTCTGGGAGGGAGTTTGGGTGGGGGTTGGGGTCTGGGGTGCAGACTCTAGGAGAGAATTTGGGTGCAGGCTCTGGGAGGGCGTTTGGGAGCATGAGGGGGTGTGTTGGAAGGGGGTGGGCGTGCAGTCTCTGGGACAGAGTTTGGGTGCTGGGAGCAGGCTCCAGGCTGGGGCAGGAGGTGGGGGTGCAGGAGGGAGTGAGGGCTTCAGGATCTGGGATGGACTTTGGGTGCAGGCTCTGTGCTGGGGGTGCAGGCTCTGGGAGGGAGTTTGGGGATGGGAGGAGGTGCGGAGGGAGGAGGTGCAGGCTCTGGGTGGAAGTTTGTGTGCAGGCTCTGGGAGGGTTTGGGTACTGGGTGCAGGCTCCGGGCTGCGACAGGGGCTAGGGGTGCAGGAGGGGTGAGGAGCATGCATTCAGTCATTTCATAGGGCAGAGTTTTAAAGCTATTAAGATTTGGGGAACTATTCTTCCTAGCATCTTCCCTTTGTAGATTTCAGATGTGTTCACACACTCACCCCCACTGAGCCACACTGTTACACCGCAATCTAATAGAAGGGCCAGGAGGTCTCCAAGTTCATAAAAAGAAACAGACAAAAAATAGAAAAAGGAACAAAATGTTTCTAAGATTATAAAAGTTTGGATCTCTGCCCCTCTCAGTCTTTGGATTCACCTGGAGTAGGAACTGTAGCTGCAGTTTAGGAACCAGATAATGGCATAGATGGTCCAGCACGTTGGGCTAGCAGGCTTTGCAGGTACAGGGAGACTAGTGAAGGCTGCATAGCCTTAGACTTTGTGCTTCATTCCCCAGAGGGGATCACTCCTGGGATCCTGGTAATCAGTCTCTCTGAGGCAGAGTTACAGCACCGGGAGTTACAGTGCTGCTCAGAGAGTGCTGAAGGGAAACCGCTATTGTGTGTTTACATTATCAGCTGCCTGCACAATAGCGTGTTCACACTTGTGGCACTTGCAGCTGTATTCCGAGCAGTGCATTCAGTATCCACTGAGCATCTCTTCTTCTTCTGCCGCTAAGAGTTGTGGGAAGGTGGAGGGGGTCGCTAGGCATCCCGGGTCATGTTCCAATGCCCCGTGATGCATTGCTTCGCATCTCAGCAATCCCTGTGCTTCCATTCACATTTGGTGTCATCTTTCAATGGTTTGTGTACTGTGCATTCTGCCTCTTCAGGCAGCAGGAATGGATCCCACTGTTGACCCATATGCTGCTTGCTCTTATTAACACATCACAAGTGGCAATGGAGTTATTCCTTATAGTACAAAGGCAAGCAGAGTTCAACATTGATCTCACCATGTGTAGTAGCTATGACACGAGATTGCTTGTGGCATTAACGGAGGTGCTGACCACAATGGAACACCACCTTGGAGCTTGGGAAACAAACACTGAGTGGTGGGAATCAATCGTCATGCACATCTTGGATGATGAGCAGTGTCTGCAGAGCTTTTGGATGAGGAAAGACACATTCATGGGACTCTCTGATGAGCTTGTCCCAACCCTGCAGCGCAAGGACACGAGAATGAAAACTGCCCGGTTATTGGAGAAGTGCGTGGCAACTGCAGTGTGGAAGCTGGCTACTCCAGACTGCTACCTATCGGTCACTAATCAGTTTGAGTTGGGAAAGTCGACCGTGGGACATGTGTTGACAAAAGTGTGCAGGGCCATTAATTACATCCTGCTCCGAAAGACTGTGGCTCTGGGCAACGTGTGAGACATTGTGGGTGGCTTTGCACAAAGGGCTTCCCTAACTGCGGAGGGGCGATAGATGGCACGTATATTCCAATTCTGGCACCAGACCACCTAGTCACAGCGTACATTAATCAGAAGGGTACTTCTCTATGGTTCTCCCGGCACTTGTGGATCACCGTGGGCATTTCACAGACATTAATGCAGGCTGGCACGGTAAGGTGCATCTTTCAGAACACTGGCCTGTTCAAGAAGCTGGAAGCAGAGACTCTCTTTCTGGATCAGAAGATCACTGTAGGGGAAGTCAAAATGCCCATTGTGATCCTGAGAGACCCTGCCTACCCCTTAATGCCGTGGCTTATGAAGCCATACATGGGGCACCTTAACAGCAGCAAGGAGTGGTTCAACAACAGGCTCAGCAAGTGCAGAATGACTGTTGAGTGTGCTTTTGGCTGTTTATTTGTGAAGGGAAGGGTAAAAGCTTCACTCAGGGCTGGACCACTGAGGCTCAGCACCTGGAGGCTGAATTTGAACAGCCAGAGACCAGGGCTATTTAAGGGGTGGATCGTGGGGCCATAAGGATCAGGGATATCTTGAGGCAGCAATTTGAAGCTGGAAGCCACTAATATTTGTTGCTATGTACAGCAGAACAGTGCTTGTAATGCTAGGAGGGGATTGTTATTGGTGCAGACAATGCACTATGAAGGCTTAAGAAAATTGCCTGTTGCTTTGTAGGGATCTGTCTGCTTTCAACTAATGGAATCAAGATTGCTTTCAAACCAAAACTATTATTTTATTAAAAAGCAACCACCGGAGGAGAGACAAACAAACAAAAACACATCAGTACTGTGGGGAATGGGTAAAAGGTTACACATCTTGTCTCAAGTAATTTTCCTCTTAACAGAAGATTTATTTTAAAATTTATCAAAATAAATTCCATTTTAAATAGAAATAATTACAGTCCATATTGGGTCTCTCTTCTCATACATGCTATTTCTCTCACATATTCCCCCACTTTAATTCTTTTGGAGTGAGGTTTTAATTTCAGGATTAGCCACCGTTTCCGATATAGTAGGACGGGCAGGGAGAGAACTAGAAGAAAACCCGAATCATATTGTAACACTGAAAGTTATCACAGAATCAGCCTGTTACACTAATTACACTAATTAACATCATGTTTAATTTCATTGTCCCTGGTAACAACTTATTCAAAGATTACAAAATATAAACTTATAGGGCAGTTTTCTCTTAATTCCCTTTTCCAACCAGTTAGCTTTGTGTGAAGTCACATTCTACAATAACCTAGGAGCCTTCCATTTCTGTGAGTTCATTTCTCGCTAGGTCTTCTACCAGAAGTGTGGGTGGAAATGGTCTCTCACTACGTGGGAAGGCTGCATCATGAGCAAAACCACCTGTATTTTATTTTCACACTTTCTAATCTTTCAAAGTAGCAGGAGGTGGAGAAGTGATACAAATGCATTAGACTCAAGAGTAAACTAAGAGAGCAAACCACAGACGCTGGACTCAGTATTCATATATCCTGCAGTCTGAACTTGGAATCTGATACATTCCCTTATTGGCTACAAATCATTTGCCCAGCATGGAAGTGCTTCTTGTCCAACAAGGCAGCCAAATTGGGACCCATAGGCATGGAATGGCTCTGAAATAATCAGCTGAAAAAGACAGTTGTTCCCAATTTAACCATGTCATCCTTTAGGAGTGTGATCAATGCCACTTAATTAGTGAGCAGCTTTCTAAAAATAGTTTACGGGGTCACAGGTCACCATAGCTTCCATCTCTGGGGTGAAAATCGACCACTTGTACCTGCAATTTCTACCTGACTTCTTATCAAGTCTTTGACCTTACTTGAAGTAATTTTACACTTCTCTGGTGTAGAATAATTCTCCAACCATACAACATATCAGTAGCGATAGTGAGGAATAACTCCCCCAAAATTTCCTTTTATTTCTTTAATCTGGTGGCACAGGTTTAAATTAGGGACTAAATTCAGGTGTGGCTTAGAATCCCTGTAAAACACCAATGTCAGGTATCTATTAAAAATAAATATCTTTCTGCAGCTATATCATATTCAACATGGATTTCATTTTCTACACATTTGCAGCATCTCCCAGGGGTGAGCTGAACAGAAATGTCACTTCCCTTTTTCCCATCCCTACCTAGCTAGGGATTGCATTTCCCAAATAATAGGCAACATGCACCTGATTAGAAAGGAGATATCTTCAGGAGCAACCTCCTGCAGGGCCTGGGCCACAACTGCTTTGGGAGCCAAATGCATGGGTATTTTGCTTGGTTCCAAGTCATATACCAGGGAATCCTCTTCCCAGCCCTTTAGAAAAAATATTGACCTAACCAATTGAACAACAGGGGGATTGGGATGGTGATGGGGAATAAGGGAATCCCTCTGATTTACCCTATCTTCTTCTGTTGTTACAGAGGGTGAAATGACATTTTTCCCTATCCCTGCCCTGTTCCTGCTCTTTCTTATAGTTCAATATATTTTAAGTGAGGAAAATGGTAGTAAAAACATCTGCTCTGCAGCACAACCTGGAGCAACATCAGAGCAACTGGGAATTAAACAATTTTTTCCCGAAGGGGGAACTTGATGACTAACAATTGCTTTCAAATGGGGGAACAGTATAACCGTGACGCTCAGGGTTCGTTTAGACTAGGAAAAGTGATGGAGTTTAGGTCAGCTCAAGGGGAAAGCTAATGCAACCACTGCACCTGGGCTGCACCTGCTCTACAACTATAATTGTCTTTTTACACCAAGATCACTAACTTGAGCAGCCAACGCCATGTACAGTCCTAGTGGCTGTAAGGCACAGGTAGTTTTTGCCTCAGTGCAGCTTGTTGGGATCAAACCTCTCGCTCCCACCTGGAACCGATGAACATTCCTGGCTAGAGGGACACACACTCCTTCGACTCAAAAGGAAAGGAGTTGATAGTAAAGATCACAGGACTGACCCCAAAGAAGGGTGAGCTGCAAAAAGCAGAAGCAGGCAACTCATCTGGGGGAGCTGAGAGACCACGCTGAAGATGGTGCAAAGATCACTCTGTGGGAATTAGCAAATGTGGGTTTTTTTAAAAGAAAAATCTTTGGCCAGCCCTAGTCAAGGCATTTATTACAGTTCTCTCTCATGTGGATTTTCTGATGTCTGATAAGGGTTGAGCTCTGATTGAAACTTTTCCTGCACTCAGAGCATGTGTAGGGTTTCTCTCCTGTGTGGATTCTACGATGTTTGATCAGGTCAGAGCTCTGATAGAAGCTTTTCTCACATTCAGAGCATGTGTAGGGCGTGTCTCCTGTGTGGATTTTCTGATGTGAGATGAGGGCTGAAGTATGAATGAAGCATTTCCCACACTCAGAGCATCCATAAGGTTTCTCCCCTGTGTGGATTCTCCTATGTCTGATAAGGTTTGAGCTCTGATTGAAGCTTTTCCCACACTCAGAGCATGTGTAGGGTTTCTCTCCAGTGTGAGTTCTCCAATGTCTGATAAGGGTATAGCTCTGATTGAAGCTTTTCCCGCACTCAGAACATGTGTAGGGCATCTCTCCTCTGTGGATTCTTTGATGTGTGAAAAGGTCTGAGATCCCACTGAAGCTTTTCCCACACTCATGGCATATGTAGCATCTGTTTTCCATGTTGATTCTTTCGCGTGTAATAAGGTCTAAGTGGCTCCTCAAGTTTTCCTCTGCCATCTGCTGAGTTTCACAGGCTTTTGCTTTTTCTCGGCGTGCACAATTCCCGGAAACATTCCCTATGGATCTTCCTGATAACATCCCATGTGGTTCTACTTGCTCAGCATCTTCCTGCTGGGGTTTCTCCTCCTCATTCTCACTCACCATTCCATCACCTGATGGGAGAAAGAGTATCCGGACATAGGTCACTCTCTGTGCCAGAGAGAAAGGAAATCTCAGAGACAGGAATCGAAAAAGGGATGAACAAACCAAAATATGTGCGGGAGACATCAAACCTATCAGGAGCTGATTTTCCCAAACCCTTCCCCAGAGGAGAGAGGAAGGGATCAGTTTTGTTCCACATCTCACCAGAACACTCAGGGGAAAGTGAAATTGGGGAGGGACCTGCCTCCAGTTGTCAGTCAGGATAGGTGGGAAGGCACGAGTGACATCTGCCTAATGCTTCCACATCTGCAAGGAACAATCCTGAACTTGGAGAGCTCACAAGGTCTTTGTAGGGCATCCCAAATGTTTCCTATATTCACAGACAGTTTTTGAGTTGGTTTAACCAATTCCCTACCTGTGCAGGTAGCTGTCAGGTACACTTCTTTCTCAGAGCCCTGGAGGTCTGGGACCCACAGCTCTTCCCCTCATTCCAACTGTTGTACTTAAAGTACTGCACAGGATCTTTTCAGGGGGGATAAGGCAAAGCGCCACATTTATTGGTAATACATGTATCAATCAACACTGTATCATATGCATATGATAGTAGATAAGGTTTTCACCCCTTACACTCATGCTCTCTCTCTCTTTCTCTCTCTCTCTCTCTCACACACACACACACACAAAAGCACAATCCATCTTCTTGTTGTTACCTAATAGTTGCTCCCCTTAACTTCACTGGCCAGGCAAGTTAGATGGGGGAGAGATGGAGCCGGGCTTCTGTCGATCTGGATAGATGCTGACAAGACAAGACCCGGAATCCTCTGCAAGACACCTCACATTTATAGCAGCTTCCCTCTCATGCAAATCTATACCAGATTCAAAGTCTGTGGCACCTCCTTCTGGGTGTTGTCTTAATGCTGCCACATTTATTTTCAAAGAGGGTGTTTTCAAAAGAAGGTGCTTGCTTCTAACTCCCAAGGCCATCAATATGTCTGATCTTCTTTAATGAGCCCACTTGACAAGTTTTATTGTTCTTGAGTCTGGCTTCCATCCCCTCACCTCCAGACAGCTGCAACATTTGGAGCTTGCCTTCCACGCCTTCCTCATTCACACCTCATTCATTCAACAGGGCACTTGATTAAAGGGGGGAAGATCTTATTCTACTCCTAGCAAAAAGTCATTTTTCTTCTACCTTAACTATCCTTAGGGCCTATAACATTATACCGAGGCTCAATACAAAGTTTCTATATAAGGATTTGATACAAAGTTCCCATATCAAAGTACTTGACATAAAGTTGCATGAAAACAGAGGTCACACATGGATAGACCCAATACAAGGTTATATGAAGAGTCATAATACAAAGTCATCTGAAAGTTATGCAAAGAGGCTTAATGCAGAGATTTATCTACACAGCTGCAAGATCACATCAGGTTTGGAAACTGGAAACCCTACTCCAGGTAAAGAAAACAAGGGAAATCAGTGGTATACTTGTCACAAAGAATATTCCATGGTTTTAACCCCAGCTCATTTTTAAGCAGTAACATCCCAAGATCAGCTTCCTTGGCTCAAAGTGGCAGGAGAATTGTTATTATTGTAAATCATATTCATTACCTTAGTGCCTCAGCACCCACTAACAGTGGGTCCCCATTGTGCTAGGCAAAGTACAAAGACAAAATAGTAAATGGCCCATGCCCTGAAGAATTTACAATCTAAATGGACAAGACAGACACAGACTGGGGGAAGGGGTAGAACCCACTGTTAGAATAGAGATATTCAGGCCTGCCTGTAAAGCCTATGCTTTAAGAACTTAGGTGTATTTTTATCACTTAGCTAGTTACAGGGGTATAAAAACAAAGAATCAAAATCACAGTCTGCCTGTGTCTGGGCCTTCTCTCACTAGGATAGTCTGAGGCCTTGTTCTTAGGCTAAGGCCTTTGGCTAAGCAGCAGGGGCAGCCATAAGCTGGGAAGCGAACGGTCACATCCTCACCTCCCAAACCAATCACACTGAAATACGGTGCTATTGGGCTGTTAGGAAGACGATCCTGTCCGGATAGTGCCCATCACCACCAGATAAAGAAACAGATCTTAAGATGGTTAAAGAAAACTTAGTTAGTTAGCATCCTGTCTGGCAAGAAATCACTTATCAATGGTTGTGGCTGTGAAACCCTCATTTCTGTATTGTTTTGACTTTATGGCCACCACTTTTCTATTGTTAATCTGTCTGGTTCTCTAATTGTTTCTGTCTGCTGTATAATTAATTTTGCTAGGTGTAAGTTAATTAGGGTAGAGGGATATAATTGGTTAGAGAATTATGTTACAATATGTTAGAATTGGTTAGTTAAATTTCAGTACAATGATTTGTTTAGGTATAGCTGAGAATATTACTATGTAAACTGGAGGGGGAAGGGAAATTGGAATCATGTTTGTTAATTGGGAGAACGGGGAACAGGGACACAGGCAAGGCTCTGCGGCATCAGAGCTGGGAAGAGGGACACGGGTAAATGCTTTGCGGCATCAGAGCTGGGAAGGAAACACTGGGGAACAGATTCTATTGGAGTATAGAGATAAGCCCGACTGGTGTGAAAGGCTTCGGAATATGCTTGCTTGGAAACTAACCCCAATAAACATCGCATTGTCTGCGCTTCAGACTTCTGGTCTTTTGCTGCTTGCTGTCTGCGTGACAAGAACTAGGGAAGTAGGAGGCCCTCTAACAAAATGGACCTGACCCGATAACTAAGAGGTAAGCCTTTAAGGAAGGTTTTAATACACTTTGGAACTGATCAGGGATTCCCACGAAGACTGATGAGGGGGCCATGGAAAATACGCATTTAGATCCTTTTCTTGTTTTATATCTTTTCCCCATGAGGCACACTGTCATGAATCCATAGAATCTGTGCAATGCCTGGGCTTTTAAACAGTCCTTGGGAAGCCTCTGGCTTCAACAATCCTATTTCAATCTGTGAGCTCTGCCAGCAGGTCCAGCTGAACTACACTCCTCTTCAGAGACTGTTCCTCATTCAATGCACAGAGCAAGTTTTTGCTGTGACACTGGGCAGACTTTTAAAATATAGCAGGGTTTATTAATCAACTGAAACACAGCATTGGAAAATCCTTAGATTAGCACAGGGAAGCAAAAAAGACAATATAGTCCATACTGGCCAATGGCCTTGAGCCATGCTGCTGTAGAAAACAGTTCAGTTTCCTTTTACTGTGCCATTTGTCTTCACTCCGGTAGAGCTCCCTGCATCTGCAAGCCCAGTTCTTCCTCTCCCAAAAACATAATGAGTCCATGTATGCTTCACTCAGCCAAGCTGAGATACATAGGTGACAATTATTCCCTTGTCTCTGTCAGGTATTCCATTGATGTAGGTTGGTCCCAGCCAGTCCTTAATGACACATTCATATCACCCCATGACAGCTACATGACAAAACACCTCATGTCTCCTGCTCTTTCTAATCATAGCAATACCAATCACAGAGGGAAACTGAGGTGTGTATTGGCATCATACAAGTATCACCAAAATTCCCACCTCTATCACACACAGACACTGCTCACAGCCCTTGGAGAGAAAGCAAAGCACAGGAGCTGGACGTTAGTCCAGTGAACACAGTGGAGGACAAGCTGCAATCCTCAAACCCTGGTAAAAAAGGAGAGGCATGTGGGTCCCTACCCAAAGAGAGGGGCTGGCTAGAGGCCCTGTTATGGGAGGGAGGAATGCAGCAAGGACTCAGGATTGGTGGCCAGGGTCACTGTGCATAGAGATGGGGAGGTTATATGGGGAGGGGGGTAATGAGTGGGAGAGGGAGGTCAAGAGTTAAAATAATAATGTTTTGGGAAAAATGTATAATGAAGTGGAACTGAGCAGAAATAAAACTGGAGTGTAGCTCAAAAGCAACAAGGCTTGGGTAGGGATTCGGGGTTAAAGTCTGGGATCCCCCACAGCTCTAGATCCCCAAATCTCTCCTCCTTCCCACTGACCCACCCAGCCCACTTCCTGGGTGCCCTTCCTACACACTCCCCTCCCCTTCATCCCATTACTCTCAGCCATCACCACCTCCCAGCATCTTGGTAGCTTCTTGTGTTCCCTCCTCCTCTCTCACTACCTCCTCCCTCCCTGCTGCTTCTTAGATCTAAATCTGCACACACCCTTCCCATGTCCTGGCACTCCAGAATTAGCTACTCCCCCATTCTCCTGCCTTCCCACGGCTCCGTTCTCCATTCTCCCGTGGGCTCCTGAATGGCAACATTATATGCTCTCCTATTAAAAGAGGAGCTCATCTGACTGTCACACAACTCATGCATGAGTCATACACCTATTTACTCAATTTAGAATTCTACAGCAGGCATATTTTCCTTTCAAAAAGAGGAAAAGGCATGAAAGCTACCGTTATTAATGTAGTTATTAATGTATC